TAAAGGTGGCTCAGTTACTTGTTCCATGAACTGGAAAGCCCAATCACACTATCAGCACCATGAATGACTAACTCAGTTTCACTCAGATAGACCAACAACTCAGTTGCTAACTCTTAGCACCAACTCAGTCAGTCATCATCCCTTGACCCTGGAGACATCTCCCCAATAGTAATACGTGGAAAATTCAACCACCTTCTTGGTCGTGGTGTTGTTAGACACTGTCAAGTCAGTTCTACCTCATAGCAACCCAATGTGCAACAGAACAAAACACTGCCCGGTGCTGTGCCATCCTCACCACTCTGCCTATGTTTGAACCCATTGTTGCAGCCATGGTGCCAATCCATCTTATGGAGGGTCTCCTAATTTTTTTGCTGTCCCTCTTTTTTTTTTTCAAAGCATAATGTCCTTACCCAGGGAGTGGCCTTTCCTGACTACATGCCCAAAATACATGAGATGACGTCTCACCATCCTTGTTTCTAAGGAGCGTTGGGTTGCTCTTTTGGAAGTCCCTGGTACTTTGAATATTCTTCACCAGCACTGTCATTTACAAGCATTCTCGGTCTTGGTGGCATCCTTATCACATGCTTGCTGTTCCACCAGGCAGCCACGTCATACCAGCAGAACACGTAACAGTTTATGATCATGGTTCTGTTCTTTCAGTTCCTCTAAGAAAGAGCTTAGTCATGTTTGAAATTTCACCAATACCCCAGCCAGGCTCTCTCTCAGCAACGGGAGCAATTCAGTCACATCATTTCTGCTTCATGATACTTAGTCTCACTCCCCCTGAGTCCCCACGCCTAAAACAATTCCCACAACTAGAACAAGATGAAGCAGTTCTTCTTAAAATTGTTCTACCTGCTGTTTCTATGACACCGTGACATCCCCGGTCTCCCTCTTAGACGACAGCATCTCTGTGATGCTCAGGGCCTCTCCACCCCCACATCCCCCCAGGTTTCAGCAACAGTGTTCTCCTCCCACTGTGGAGAGCAATTTTCATCCAAATGAGGGCGAATTTTAGGAACCACAAGCCTTCAGTCACTATTGAACAGAAAACATTTCATTTCTCGTTAACACAAGATGTGGTTAATTTCTACCTCTCAAAACCCACACTTTGGTTCTCATGCCTCCTTTACTCTATCCTCTTTGCATCCATTCCTGATGGTGGGAGAACCACTCTAGCAGGCTCCATCAATAGCTGATGCCATGCTCAGACAGGCATCTGTTAAATTTACTCATTCATTTATTCAGCAAACGTTGGTTAAGCACCTACACCGTTCTCAGAACTAGAAGTTCAACAGTTAACCAAACAAAAGCCATACTTCTAATAAGCAAATATTCTAGTTGAAGGAGACTAAATCATAAACACAAAACACAATGTTAACTAATAGGTGGCAAAAACATTGTTGAGAACAAGGGGGGGGGGGTCACCGCAGAGACCCAAAGCCCCTAGAGGGGTCACAGGGAATAGATGAGTCAACCAGGCTGCAGTAAAGCACCGGTGAAACTCACAATATTCCTCTGGTGGTTGCTTGAGGCTTCCTCACCAGCCCACCCCAACTATCATGCCCCCAGTACTGCCTTTCACTGCGGGGTAGACCAGAGCATGTGCACAGGTGCAGATCTGAGATAAGAGCTCAGGACACATGGAATCCAGGAACAGGAATGGGAGTAGCAATACCAGAAGAGGAAGGTGAGGCGTGGAGGGGAGGAAGGGGGAACCGATTGCAATGATTGATACATAACCACACACCCCCACACCCTCCTCCAGAAAAACAGAACCACAGAAACCATGGCGGAAGCGAGACAGTGGTCAGTGTAAGATATGAGAAGAAGAAGAATTTATAATTTTTCAAAGGGTCACAAGGGTGGTGAGGAGGGAAGAGGAGCTGGCACCAAAGGCCCAATAGAAAGTAAATGTCTAGAAAAGAATGATGTCAACATATGCATACATATGCTTGATACAATTGATGTATGGATGGTTATAAGAGTTGTAAGAGTGCCCAATAAAATGATCTTTTAATTTAAAAAAAGAGGATATGAAAATAAACAAAGTGAGGTGAAAGGATAGGAAATAGTCAAGAACCGTAGTTTGACACAGGGTGGTCGGGGAAGACTTCTGTAAAGAGCAGATATTCAAATATTCAAATGAGCCATTGGGTTATGTAAGAAGAGAAGACAGGCAGAGAGAGAGCAAGTTGAAAAACATGGAAGCAAATGTGTGCTTGGCATGCTCCAGAAACAGCCAGGAGATCTACGGGGCTGTGTTGCCATGAGCCAGGGGAGAGAGCATGAGCTGAGGAACACATTAGAGGGTTTTGTTCCATCAGGTGTAATTTATTTCTTCTCTTCTTAGAAACTGCTGATTCAGTGGAGCTCAGAAATCTAAGGTAAATTGCTTCTCTGGTCCACCAAGAGGAGATCAAGTGGGTCCTCTTATAGCCCAGAAACCCCAACACAGGGTGAACAGCTACAGAAGCTTGATTCTCAGAAACAACTAAGTTTCACTCCAATCCTCTAAGTGGAAGATCTCTGAGGATCTGGCCAGCAGTTCCCCTGCTCCTGAAAACAAAAAGGAGGGGGTCCTAAAGACACTCACCCAAACCTCTGAAGATCAGAGCTTCTTTGGAGGCTAACTTAATAAGGACACTCTACCACTGGGCCTAAGGTTTAATCCCTAATATATCCAATACTTGCTTCACTTCCAAAATCCACCACAATAATTCAGGCTCCAGTGCTGTGGAAACAAGTCGTGACTACACCCAATCAGGTAACCCTGACCTCTGCTCCACGTGAGGCCCGCTGTTGCAGAGACTTCCAGGGCTGCTCAAAGGGTAACAACCTTCAGTAGCTTCACCTATGAACTTATCAATAAAGATATCACAAGATCACATTTGCATTCTAGGAAGATCGGTTTAGTTACCGTTGGAGAATGGATTAGAGAGAGCTAGCAAAGACAGTGGACACATAGGCCTTTGGAATAGCAGTGGCTGGACCAGTGAGGAGACTGGAGAGGCATGGGTTGAAGATGCTAAGGCAGCATAATCAACTGTCCTGGAGGTCTGATTGGATATGGGAATGAAAGAACAAGGATACAAACATGACACCCAGCTGCGGGATGTGACCAAAATACACCTATTGCCGCCATAAACAGGAGAGGCTGAAGGTCGGTCGAGTTTTGGGACACTCAAATGGAGTTTGAGTGTTTCCCGGGGGTCTAAGGAGAGCTCGTGATAAGGATTAAGGAGCCGTCTGCATGGTGATAAGAATGGAAGCCTTAGGAATGGAGAAGATGCTCTCTCCACGATTGTGTCCCATAGAGTGAGGGCTGAGGAGCCATTCTGCTATTTAGTAATTTTGTTCTCTTAGAAAAGCTAACTTTGCCTCTCTGGTTTCTCATTACATATTGGAGATAATACCTCACAGGCTACAGTAATAAGTAATGTGATGGGGCAGGCAAATGAGTTAATTCAGAGTCTAGAATTTAATGGCCTCTCGGTAAATGCTAACTGCTGTCAGTGTTGTTGTTGCTGCTGCTGCTGATGCGATTAAGGATAAAAAGAGCATAACACAGAATCATAAGATTCTCAATTATGCACGAGGAAAGCTGAGAAAGAGAGCATGGAAATAGAGCAGGTAGAAAGTTAGAAAAGCTAGAGTGTGGCATTGTCGAGAGAGAGGTGGGGGGCGTTTCAAGAAGGAAGAAGTGGTCACAACAGCGACACAGAACCCTCCAGAAAAAAATCTGAGAATGGTTTCTTGGATTTTGCCACAAGGAAATATCTGGTCTTCTTGCAAAGATACATTTTAGGGATGTGGTGTGGTCAGAGGTCACTCTGCAAGGACTGAGGAGTGACAGGGGGCAATGAGCAGAAACAAATCTTTTATGGAACCTGGCTGGGAATGCAGGGAGAGAGGAGGGAAGATCCGAAGGGGCTATGTATCCAAGAAGTTTTTAAAGGTGAAGGTGACTGAAGCATCTCTAAATGGAAGTAGGCAGAGACCAGCATAAGAGGACGGAGAGCTAAATAAGGTGGAGCGAGGATCAGAGCCAAAAGAGAGGAACTCGTTGACCTTCTCCAGAATGAGGGGCGACACCCGTCCTGCCATCGCAGGGGGGTCAGAGACCAGAAGGACGAGCATGCCCTACATGAGAGGTTAGGTACAGGAAGTTGAGAGACTTTCATTTTCTCCACAACATAGGACGAATGGCCACTGGCTTACTACAAGGGTAGACAAAACAAGCCGACACAGTGCAGTGTCTTTGAAATATCAGACTAGGAGGAAACTGCTGACTAGCGAGCAGACACTATGATTCCCAGGCAGGATTGATCTGCCCCAGACCCATCAGCAGCTCAGGCCCAGACTGATCTACATTTGCCTGGGTTTGGGCGATGGGACAAGAGGAACCATGGAATCTGGCTGAGATGTGGAGCAATGAGTTCAGAGGAGAGAGCTGTCAAATTTTGAGAAGGTAACCTGGAGGTCCAAATGGAGTTCCAAATGGAAGGCGTCCATAGTTTGAAAATATCCAGTAGTAAATGGTTGTGATCAGAAAGTAAGAAGTTGATCGTAAGGCAATGACTTTGATGAACGAGGGGGAATGCCTACGGCTTGGTGGAGGCCTCTAGCTCATAGAAATGAGGGGAGAAGGGGAGAGCAGGATGGCTAGATGTGCCATCTATCTAGGGGTGGCTGGGTGGGGCAGGTCTACCGGAATCATGAAAGGGAAATGACTCATCACTGCATGGGTGCAAAGACGCGAGATTGAGGTGCCTGGGGCAGGGTGGAATCACAGCCCCCACTGAAAACATTGCAAAGGAAACGGGGTCCCGAGCAGCCTACGTGAGCTAAAGGCGGAGCTGGAGGCTGGGGATGGGAGAGCTGCTTAAGCGAACGGGTTTAGAAGGGATGAGAGGGAGAGGGCCCATGGGCAGACTGTTATCTCTCCGTGGTTTTGTCCATCCTTAGAAGACTGTCCATCGTCCCTGAAGAATGAGAAGATGGAACTGCCCTTTAAGTCTCTGGAAACGACTCATTTCCGTCGGTTCACTCCCGAGTCACTGGTGGAGATTGAGAAGCAAATTGCGGCCGAGCAGGCAGCCAGGAAAGCGAGAGATAAGCACCGGGAGAAGGATGCAGAAGGGAAGCCTCGGCCCCAGCTAGACTTGAGAGCCTGCAACCAGCTGCCCAAGTTCTATGGCGAGCTCCCGGTGGAGCTGGTAGGGGAGCCACTGGAGGACCTGGACTCCTACTACCGCACCCACCGGGTAAGGGCTTCTCTCATCATTGGGAGAGATGAGAGATGAGGTCTCTCTGCACCCTGGGCCCTGGGTGATGTGTCAATCGGTTGCTCACTCAGTGAATGAAGAAGAAGAAGAAGTCGCCTTTCTGACACCCTCTTTGTAGTTCCCGTGGCTTTTACTAGAGGGACCAATGAAAACCAAATCCTTCCAAAGCACTGACAGCTGCAGAGCGTGCAGATAGAGCGAGCTGTTCAGAAGGGGCCCCAGAGGTGTTGACTCTCTACAAACCACCCGCTTTCCTCAAGAGCACAGATCTTGAGGTTGAAGAAGGGTAGGAAATGGAGGCAAGAAACCTTAATATTCATCAAAAGAACTCCCCTGGAGGTGGTCCCAGGACTCCTAGAGTCCCCCAAACCTTTTTTGAGTGGTTTAGAGGATTCATGAAGTCAAAACTCCTTCATGATAATACTTACATATCCTTCATCTTGTTCGCTCACGTGAGAACGCGAGGGAAAGAAACGTGAGTTCCCAGCAGTGACTGTGCAGTGCAGGCGATTGATGTGGGGGCTGTTACTGCTCGAAAAGCCCCTGTCACAGGTGTTTGTGTGTCCCTGTGTCTTAAATGTTTTCCCTCAGTTTGAGTTTTTCTAACCCAGCCAAAGTCTGTATCTCCCACATAAAGCAAAACCCGGAGTTCTTCAAGAATCAGAAATGCTTGGGAACCATGGGTTCGAACAAGAACGGCTCCACGCCATTTACCCTGCCCGAATGGTATCTTAAACGTTCTGTACAGCGGGGGGG